ACGGCTGAAAGGGCGAGAGCATGTTTGGTGTGTGAGGGATTCGAACCCGCGACCCTCAGATTGCGAGTCGAGTGCCTTAACGTATTTAACGTTTTCTACATAGTCTACATTCTTCTGATGAAATAGTCACGTGCAATGGCTTCTATTCACACTTTGTGATTGGAATCTCGAAGCCGTATTACTACTATCAGGTTTTGTAGGATGGATTCCTTACAGTAGATGTCTTTGATTTGTTGGCGATAAATTTCAACAACAAACAAACACCAACACGTTCAACTTGTCTTAACATAATATATTAAGATAAGTCAAACGTATATGCAAATATTCGTTACATTATTGGTTACCACAGTTGTATTCAGAGCTTTAAATAATTTTCTTTTTCGTCAAAGTCTACACAGTCTGGTTCAATTACTTTAGAATACAATTGACAAGATGAATTATTCTTCTCTGCTCTGTTATAACAATACAGTCTGTGATAATTTAACTTTAAAAATCGTTACTATACTATACGCTAAACTCATAATCACGCGATCTAGATCTAAATAATAATTTTTCGACGCAATACTAGATACTCTGATGCAATAATACTCAATTAAAACAATTTAGAAAGTTCTAGTAACATGACACAACAATATAACAATCATTAACTCATAACAATTGAACATACACCCTAAACAACGTATGATTCTTAAACAATTAAGTAAACAAACTTGCCATAAACTCTCTCTTCTAAAAATAACTAAATATGCGCTATAATTATATAAGCATAATTTTTTTTACATCACGAAAATTGCGGGTTCGGCAGAACCTCTCGAACCCCCCCCCCCCTCCTGCGAGAAAATGCGTTTATTCTAAAAATGATCTAATTAGATTAAACATGAATTTTATTTTAAGCAAAATGACATAGTTATGAATCAGGTCCTGACCAATAACTTATTATGAGTTAACCAATCACATTCCAGGAAATAATTACATCCTTGACGATAACCAATCACACTAAAACTCTAAATAATTTTTTCAATGTAACCAAAGTTCTAATTAAAACTTTGGATAATCTTTGTTCTGCTTCAATATGACCTGCGCCCGGCATGGCCAGGTGGTTAAGGCACTCGACTCGTACTCTGAGGGTCGCGGGTTCGAATCCACGTCTCACCAAACACGTCACACCAAACATGCTCGCCCTTTCAGCCGTGGGGCCCTATAATGTGACGGTCAATCCCACTATTCGTTGGTAAAAGAGTAGCCCAAGAGTTGGCGGTGGGTGGTGATGACTAGCTGCCTTCCTTCTGGTCCTACACTGCTAAATTAGGGACGGCTAGCGCAGATAGCTCTCATGTAGCTTTGCGCGAAATTCAAAAAAACAAACAATCAATATGACCAATTTTAAGTTTTAATGGTAGTATTAATACTATTAATTTCAGTGCTTGAAAAAAAATAGGCTGTTTACCAGTATTTCTAGTAGAAAGTTCTCAAATATCTTAAATCACTTTATTTTACAAATAAAAATTTATATTATCTATGACATTTTATTAGCTAAGGCACAAAGCAATATTATTCATCATTTTTATTATATAATGTTCTTTCTTATAACAGTTGGTAGGACAGTGGAACTCGAAATTTAACCCTAATCCTTGGATTGCCAACCATCCCCCAATCAGAGTACAAGAGCCTGAAACTACGAAAAGATCCAAACACAATAATATACTGGAAACGACTGGTGTCAACTCTTCATCTATCATTGATAACAATAATACTACCAATGGTATTTTGAAGCAGGACTTTGTGGAAGATCCATATTTAAAGTTTGGTTTAGCTGAAGACAAATTATCTTTATCAACTAGCTTCTCGAATCCTTTCCAAGTAACTGAGATAGCACCTGATGGGGGTGGAATGTTTCATGATTCTTTGGATTCTTCAGGATTAACTCTAAAACAAGCTTTTCTGGAGTCACTAAACTTACAACAGCAACCAGGAAGAATTCCTCAGGGGAACCAGTCCCCTATGTTTATAACCGACGATACTATACCTGAAAACTTTCCACAAGCGAATGGAGTAGTTTTTCCAGGAGTTGTTTCTTACGGTGATTCAGTATTTCAACAGAGACCCTTTATTCAAAGATATGGATTTCCCTTCCCAACAAACAGTCATGATGGAGGGTTTATTCCACCTTTCCGCCCATTGAGACACGGATCTGTCATAGCTTCACCATTCTTAGGCCTCAGAACGGGTTCCTTGGCTCCAGGAGGTTCCTTTTATCCCAGTAAAACCCCAAGTAGTAACAAACTAGTACTTTCAGCTGCATCCATACAAGAAAACCCACAGCTAGCTCCAGAAGTAAATCAAGGCATTGCACCATTTGGACAGATTTCTCCTTTTGGACATTCCGTTCCAAAGCTTTTAGGTATCCAGAGTTCTCAACCAAACCTGGGACCACTACGAGCTACCCAGCTAGGTACCATGAGATATTTTAGCCCATGGCTAAGAGGCAGAGGAATACCTTTGAACGGTGGCTTTCTTTATAACCGAGAAGTACCTTTGCAGTTTAATCATTTTAGATGCGAAAATTATGATCTTCCAGGCCATTATGCTGATATTGAGGCAGGTTGTCAGGTAGGTGTTGAATAATTCGAGTTCGCATTGAAGTAGAATGATGGGTGGTTATACGCACGTCAAAGTAGTTAGTCGGATGTGACATATATATGTATATATGAAATGCTATCGATGCAGATTATCAAGTAGGTGCTTTTATATGAACAACATCAGAGCAAGTGTTGAAATCCACGGGGTGAAGGAGTGGTAAAGTGCCGGGTAAGTATTGATATATACAGTTGACATCAAAGCATGATTTGATATCGCAGCAGGATGTTAAGTGTTTAATAAAGGAAAATTTTCAAACAGTCAGTTTATCTCATAAATGTTCATATATACACAAATTGACACGGAGAAAATCTGTTAGGTAAGTGTTAAAATGCACACCGTTTGTTTGTAATTAAGCACAAAGCTACACAATGGGCTATCTGTGCTCTGCCCACCACGGGTATCGAAACCCGGATTCTATCGTTGTAAGTCCGCAGACATACCGCTGTGCCACTGGGGAGCTATGCACACCGTAACAATGATGCAGATTAATAGGAAAATGCTGATAAACACGACTCGACATTAAACATGTTGATGTGCACAGGGTGTACCAATGCAGGTTGTTGGTAAGTGTGCTGTACACAAGTTGTACTCGTTGGTAAGTGTTGGCGTACACGGGCTAACAACAAAATAAAACTTAGGTAAATACTGATATACACCGCTTAACACTGGGATTGGTTGTTGAGTAACTTGGTAGTAATGTGGACTTACATTAAAGTACCTGGGTTTAGATCGAGGTAGGTTGCTGAGTAACTGTTTTCTTTACATATAATATTTTGAATGTGCGCATAACTAACGGCATTTATAAAAGTACTTCATTATGTGTACACCTGGTAGTTTTAGTTGTTTAATCTACATATTTTAAACAATATTTTGGTAAACGTAAAATATTGGATCCAGTTATTGGATGGAAGATTTAGCCTTTAATAAAATGTTATCATTCCGAACATTCGCATAATTTAAAGATTTATCAACACAAGTCTGCGAATTTAAACTTCATAAAAGTTGTTTTGGATTTAATAACGGATTTCCATAATTCAGTTACACAGATTTCGAAAATAATATTCATTTTTTTGTCTATAATCTAAGGATTTTTTACAAATCTGGAAGAAAAAAATTTTACTTAGATCAAATTATTATTTCGTTTACCACAATGAATATTTTTTATTATTATCTTTGGGTTATAGAACGATCAATAAGACTCTTACGTCGCGATTGGTCTAGAGAAATCTATAACCAGAGTTTGTCAACATTTTAAGCATAACAAAATGTGACCCGATTTCAATGAAATTGGTTCATTTATGTAAAAGTACATATGACGTTTTGTGAAAAATCTGTACTTGATGAAGAAAAATGCATGCCATTTTCGGATTCAGCGAACAGGAATTACTGTATAACATGTAAAAAATTCAAGACAATATAACCATCGCAGGCCTGTGGAATTAACTCTTTAAACCCACAGTTTTTGCTGTTCTGCCTGAATTGCTCCCTAGTGGCACAGTGGTATGTCTGCGGACTTATACAGCTAGAAACCGGGTTTCGATACCCGTTGTGGGCAGAGCACGAATAGCCCTTTCTGTAGCTTTGTGCTTAACAACAAACAACAACCTGCCGGAATTTTCTTAATATTGTCTTCAGCATCAGGAGGTACCCACGTGAAGTATTTTTGAGTAAATAACCTATTGAACATGTGGTGTCAACGTCGATGGGAAAGTCGGCATTTTCGGCCTGACGCTGACAGTTTTCGCTCTGGTTTGAGGAGTTAAGCAATCATCCCTATGTTGTGACAGAGATTTAGAACTAGTCTACGATCAAAGTGAGCTATATGCGCTGTGTCCACTGCGGGGATCGAGCCCCGAAATATAGCGTTATAAGTTTTGAAACTTACCGCTCAGTCATCCGGGGCTCTAGTTAAATATGATAGTACAGAAACTTATTTAATGTACTTTTTTCTGTAGTCTTTTGTGCAATGTTTAGAATATCTAGTGATGAATATAGATTTTTGTTCGAACCAATGGTTTTTCTAATTATCTAATGAAAAATGAATTTTTGTTTACAACTTTCAGAATATTAATAAGAACTGTGGAATTGAAGACTTTAAAGGTTTTGAATGCTTACGTTAATAAATGTATAAAATTCATCTAGATTTCAAGCTGTGATATAGATTTAATTAATAATGTATATATCTATTTTCCCCCCAAATAGGTTTTTCACTTGTGTGACGTAGAGAAACGTCACACAGTATTTATGTGTCCACCAGGAACACTTTTTAACCAACCGCTCCAAGCTTGTGATTGGGCCTATAGAGTTCGCTGCGCAAGTTCTGCCAGATTCTTCAAATTTAAACGGACGAGTTGCCAAGGGAACATCTAAGGATTTTAATTAAAAGTAATAGTTACTATGTAGACAATAAAAAAAGTCTAGTTTTGAAACGATGATTGGCTTTTACCAATCGTATATTAACTACATGGTGTTCCATTCACGTTAACTTTTGTTAAAATATCAGCCTGCTGTTAGAATAGTTATATTTGACACAGCTTGTGTTTTCTTACCAAAATAAAGGTTCTACATACCAAACTTTAAAACTTTTGCCCTATTTTCCGCTATACCTATATTATCCTACCTAACAGTGATTGTTTGTCACACTCATTTTACGTTGAACTACCTCTACATTCAGCAATATAATCAGCCCTTCTAGACCGGATGTACAATACAATAACAGCAGAAAAAACTTGAAAATAATTAGAAAGTGAAAACTAAATCAGTCGTAGATCAGTTAATCCATAGTCCAACTACCCCTAACTAAGGTTTGTTTAACTGGACTAAGATATTCTGTACTTTAATAAATCATAAATAAGAAATAAATAAATACTCTAACATATTCACAACTACAATTTTTTTTTACTAATAACAGGTCAGAAAAAAAATCAGTCAATAAGTAAATAAATGTACGGTTCAACCATTCATAGTAGAATAAAGCCAATCTGTTTCATAGCAAGGAAAATGCGCCATAACTGTAAATTCTATAAACCAACAAGTCATAGCAAAGAAACTGTAAAACTATTCAGCTCTAGCTGCGGAAATTCGCATACGAAAAACTTTACTTTAATTAAGTAGTTATTTTAAAATCAGCGTAAGCAGCATTAATATTCATGTAAAATATAAAGAAGTGAAATAAAATTTGTGAAATCAATTACTTGTCTTGAGTGTGCAAGCTTTATGTAAAACAAACATTTAAGTTTTTTTCTTTTCGAACATCATCGCCATTTTGTGCAATTTAAGGAAAATAGTACCAAGGGAAAAAAAAAACCACTATGATAGCAATCTAGAAAACAAATCAAGAGCCTTTGGCGTTTTCAAAGTGTATCATCTTTACGGGATTCAGGACTACCGAGAGCCATCGTACATCATGGGAAGAATTGGTATGTGTCCTGCCCCTTCTTCTAAATAGTTTTTGAAATTATGACGCGTATACGATCAAACTACTTTGTTCTGCAAAGAAGTTTACGTTCTACGTAATAACACGTGTTTGAATTTACTAAAAAAAACAAAAAAAAACAAGTTGTTCAGGTAATATAGTATTAGTTGAGAAAGAACTCATTGATATATAATACATATTCATATGTATATAAAGAAAGAAAAAGAGTTTGTTTTAGAGCAAAGCTACATTGGGCTATCTGCTGTCTCCACCGCGGGGAAACGAGCCCCGGGTTTTAGCGTTGTAAACCCGTACACATGCCTTGTCCCACCGGCAGACGAGTAACAGAGATACGAAGAGTTTCTAGCTCTTTATCACTAACATTAATTCTTTGGTTTCATTAATATATTTATTTCTAATTTTGATTATATTGTTGCGTCAGCGAGATCACGTGACTAGTGTCACGCCACCCGTTTTCTAGAACTATCCTG